TATATATATATATATATATATATATATATATATACCAGTTATGTTTAGGTTTAGGCTTTATGAATGGAAGTCAATCAAAGGTCCTTAGTGAGTTCTTAATATGGATGTATGTGTTGTACACAAAGTTTGTCAGCATGATATAGACATACCATAACCATGGGCGGTTCTAGATGGGGCCCAGCACCCCTGTAGAACAGCTCCTGGCCCTTGTATTGAAACCATACACTACAAACAATATAATATAAGTCATTATTCAATAGTCATAAATCAATATAAGCTGTTGGAATATGATGATTTAGGCCTACTTTCGAATATGAATAAACAAGAAAACATCTTTTTTGAAGTGGTTAATATGTAACTATGTCATTTTAATGGCAAATAATACTTGTTAAATTGGCAGATCATCTCATTTAAGGGAAAATACATTGATTTTAAGATGTGGTAACTTTTTTAGATGAGCTTAGCACTGTAATAATAAATCAGTTATTTATGAGGATTTGCCCTGACAGAAGACAAAACTGATTTGTCCATTGGACTATTTTAATATTTCACCTTCCTAATCTACTTGAACAGTTATTTAGAAATTACAGTCTGCTTTAAGCTTCAGTCATGTTAAGATCAGAATTGTTATCTGTTAGATCAGGAGCATGAAACCTTTGTGGCTCACTTAATAAAGGTTTATAATGTAGTAAACAATGTACTCTTGCCCTGGACCCCAGCTTTGATTTCCTCTAAAACCATTAGTGACCATAAATTCAGCCATAGATTATGGAAAGCAGCGTGCAACCCATGGTATTAAATGAGATTAAACCACAAAACAATCTTTTTTTCCCATCATATAATTTTCATTGCTCATAATATTTTGGCTAGTATACCCAAAACTTTTTTTTTTAATCACTTGATCTTTGATTCCGTCAAGTATATCCCGGCCTTAAGGGTGCCCAAACATGAGATGTTGCATTTTTATTCACAGTTATTCCATCACATGCAGCGACAGCCAGCTGAGGAAAAGCCAACAGGTCGCAGCATAAATGAAAAACTCCTCCTGACACATAATTTAATGTCATGTTACAACTGAGCGACGGGTGGAAATGGTTTGGCAGCGTTCGTTCAGTGGAGCTGAGCCTGCAGGGCGGCTAACAGGCTTTGGCATGCAATTGTGTGCACTCAAACGTTAATGTCCAAAAGGTATGTTAGTGTATCTCACCACGGGAGTGTTTAAGTGTGAGTGACGTTTGTGACTCAGAGTAATCCTATTAGATCTCTGGCTCTCTCCCCCTTCCTCTATATTTACCTCAGCTTTCTTTCTCTCTCTCTCTCTCAGATTAACCTCTGTGTTTACAGTTTTTGCTCCAGAAGATCAGTAAAGCATGTTTTCCACTGTGCAACCTGAGGTTCACCAGAACCAGCATCAAACTGTCAACTTTCTCGCCTCATTTCCTCGACTCTCTGTCGCATGCTGGCTTTTAAATCACCCTGATACCCGGCCCAAAAGATTCAGTGTTGTGCTTTAAAGGTTTAATGTGCAACGTGAGACACTTTCGGCTGTGAAGGGAAGGTTGAAACAGGTCATTGGTCTCACTCTACGCTTGTTTTAAACCAATCTAACTCCTTTTTGCATTTTCTCCCAGTGTTTCTTCCCACCCCGCTGTGCATGTCCGTCCTTGCTTAGCAATCCAATTTGTCCTCCCCCATCATCCTTCCTTTCTTCCCTTCCTCCTTCGTTTTAAGTAATACGATTTCTGCGGGTAAGCTGGAGTTTTACAAACACACACAGACGCACACAATGAAAAGCGACCTCTACCCCTCAATTACTGCGCTGCCACACCTCCAGCTATCTCTAATCTCCTTTCTGCTGGACCACGAAGAGCAGGCTGAAGCAAATTACAGAGAGGAGCGCAGAGGCAGTGAAAGGTGTCACCAAAATAACAAACTTCACACGTTTCAAAAGAAGAAAGAAAGGGGATCAAATAAAAAAAACAGAAAAGCAGAATGGTTTGACAGAGGAGGAAAGCTGTGGATTTATTTCTTGTCGGGGGTGTGAGGAGTTTCAAGGTGAGGTGAGTTATTTGTGCAGATTTAGCAGCCGGAGCACGCGCAGAGATTGATGCTCTGGTAAATTAAGCAGCGTTGCAGCTGTAGATCAGGCCATCGATTCGCTTCCTCCCAAAAAATCTGAACCAAACAGTTGTGAAATTACTTTTTTTTTCTCCCTCAGCTATAAAATGACACTAAATCCTAATTCTGCAGCCGGTAAGTTGTCTACCAGCTTTGCCTACTTTGGTTCTAGATGCTCCAGTTCAGCATGGCACAGTCTGGTACCCAGAAGCCAAGTCAATCCCCCTTCTTCTCTGCTGCTGCAGAAATTGGTGTTTTTATCCCCACTAGTTGGGACTGATCTTTATCTCTGTTTCTGTTTTTGGCTGTAATGAGATTTATGTTTGTTGTAAGTCGTTTTTATAATATATTTTTTTTATATCCCACAGCAAGCTCTGCAACATTTACTTAAATAACTCACTTAAAGTGACTGAGCAGAACCATCAAAGGTCACATGTGGGAAAGACAGCCCTGAGGGTCTGAAATGGCTTTCCTTGCCTCTGTTGGGCCCATATGACAATAAACATAATCAATCAATTCAATTCCCTGCTAAATTGAATTTAAACGCCATCTAAGAATCTAGTATGAAGATTCTGGAATAAACTGGCAGACTAAACATTTGGAAGGAAAAGAAAGGCGAGGCACGTTTATTTTCACAGCACATCCCAGTAACAAGACAACTGAAAGTGCTGTACATGAAGACAACGTTAAAAAGGGGAAATATAAAGGAAAGTAGATTGCAGTGGCAAAAAAAAAAGGCAGGTAAAGAAAAGTTAGACTACAAACTTAAACTAATGGGGTTTTAATGAGCAGTTTAAATGAAACAGTCAAAGGCCACTCAAAGCAAATATGTGTTTTTTATTGATTTAAAGTAACTTTTAGTTTCAGCACTTTTAAAGTGTTCTGGTATATCATCCAGGTTAGTGGAACATGAGAACTAAATGCTGCTTCTCCATGTTTGGTTCTGGACGAGTGAATTAGATCTGAGCCAGAAGACCTAAGAGGTCTGGATGGTTGATACACAAGTCTGGGATGTATTTCGGAGCAAAGCCGTTCAACGATTTATAGACTGGCAGAAGGATTTAATGAGAAATGGAGAGTCATTGTTAGGACTGAAGGACTCGGGTGATGTTCTCCACTTTTTTAGTGTTAGTGAGGACGAGGGCGGCAGCATTGTGGGTCAGCTGCAGTTTTTGGTACAAGGCACAAGGCAAGGTACAGGGCAACGAAACTGCATTTCGTTGCCCTGTACCTGTGTAATCTAAAGTTGAATCTAAAAAAAATGTGGTTCAGCTGCAGCTGTCTCATCATAAGAAGGAATGTATGCTTCTTCAGAAAAGTTTCAACAAGCGTCTGACTTCAACAGCTGACTTCTAAATATATTTGTTGCAGATGACATTTCAAAAACAAAAACTGTTATTATTCTTTTCTCAGGTACACATTTATCATACCAATCTTATTATGCTATTGATCCTTGTAAGAAACTTTTATTGTTTTTTAGGTCAAGGCCATTTGTTTTCACTTTATTTAGGCCTTTTTTCAAGAAATTGATTATTTGCATCTAATGTACAGCGTTTTCTTGTTTTTCTTTTCATGTATTTGCTGCTCTACTCTTTCTTTGGCTTAAATGTTGTCTTTAAAAAAATAATCTGCTGTGCTTTTTAACTGTACTTAGAAATATAGATAAAGACATAAAATACCGACTTAAACATTTAAGCTTCCTGTAGGCGAGGTAGTGTATCAGGATGCATGCAAGCTGCAGCAGTCATACCAGAGAATACACACATACAGCACACTGTAAATCTGCAGTATGTTGTAAACGTATTTGGACTTTAAGATTTCATATCATAACATCATACTTTAATCCATTTCGTTAGAGTTTTTTTTTTAGGATATGTCAATATCTTTACGAAATAGCTTTCAAGTGAAAAAATACATGGTGTTATATTTTTTTTATTGTGACAGTGCATGTTTCCAATCCAACAGCTTTTAGAGGGCACCTAGAATTAGTGGCAGCTCTGTGTAAATCTTTATTTCTCAGTTTTTTTGTTATGACAGTAAAACAATAAATATGAATAAACCATGGAGTTTGCTTTAAATGTAAATAAAAACTAGTTTCAAGCCTAGCTTACATATACCTACATGATACATAAAAAACAATTCTAAGTCTAAATAAAGTCAGGCCTTGCAGATATTTTGTACTCAGTCCACTGTGTCATTTTTTTTTATTTACCGGTAAGCTATCCTGTTTTGATCTAAGAGCAAACATAATTATCTACATCTTATACATGCAATCAAAAATGTCCAATATCCAATCATCTCTTGTAGAAGCCATTTTCTCATTAAAGCTTTCCTATCACCTGCACTCAAAATGGGAAACAAGTAGGGCTGCAACTAGCGCTTATTTGGCAAATGGATTAATCTGTCAATTATTTTTTCAAATAATCAATTAACAATCGTATAGCAAAAGATTCCTTAAACAAGACTTTGTGAAACTAAATTTTTTCCCCTTGAGGAGTTCTGGATAGAGCATATACTGTAAACAGAAGAAAATTATTTTTATCTGAAATAAAAAATTTTTACATATTTCTTTTTACAATCTTGGTATAATTGCTGCTCTATGTGGGTTGCTCTGTCGGTTAAAGGGATGTTTCTACACTCCATTTAACGATTGATTGCTTACTAAATTAGTTGACGATCAATTCAATAATCGATTAATCACTATTAATTAGAATACTTGTTTCGGCCCTAGAAACAAGTATTTTTTTTTGTATGAAACATTCTCAGCCAATAGGACACCAAAGAATACGTTTTAAATACTAAATGATACGTCCATTTTTAATGCAACCATTATAATGATGTATAGATCTTTGCAGAAAGGGATTATATGTGGGCATGGCCATAATATGTGGCAGTGATTTCCTTCGTCTTTTTAACATTGCCACCAGTAGAGTGAGGATTTGGTTTAATATTTGCTCTGGACAATGGTTTTCAAGAATCCCACAAGGGTTTTTTTTTTTTTTTTTTTTTCTGTAGAACTGTCTTCATATTATCCAGCTTGATTATTCTATTGAAAAATACAGATGGTTTCCCACTTCCAAGCAGAAACGGTTAAATGCTGTTCTTTCTCACGTTACTCATTTTCTCCAATGTGTACTTGAACAGAAATATCCAATTATGTCATTTTTACCATATTGTTGAGAACTTTAAAGCAGAATGGGACCATGGGTGACCTTTTTTGGCCACAAGCAAAAGTGTTGTGAAAGATGAAAAGGCACAGCATAAAAATCACACCCTCCCCATAGAGGGATGTGGTGGCAGGATCATGCTGTGGTGAAAATCTGTTAAATTAAATGGAGCCATGAAGCTTGATGGGAAGATGGACAAAGCTGAAATTAAGGCAATGCTGCAACATCATGAGGACAACATCCTCTATCAGGACAACAGCCCTTCATTTTTTATTTGTTAGGGAGGCCTAGACAATGCTAGCCTGGGTGCCATTCCGAACTTAGTCCCGCCCACAACGTTTGAGTAGGACTACATCAGGCTAAGACAATGCCAGTAATCGGACCCAATCAGGAATCTTTGCAATTATGTCCACAGACAGCCTCAGTCTTGTCTTATGGAGCAGCAGGAGTTATTTTCCATAGAATAAAAACATACTAAAATGCTTGCAGCTGTCAATGCACCAACAGCTGGGTTAAACAAAGTATTAAATGAGTCGTGTTTATACTTTTATTTTAGAATTTAATTGTAAAAAAAAACAACTATTTTTTTTCACAGATCCCAGGAAAAATGTACTGAAATTATGTAGTAGAGCATTAACCAATCTAGGAAATGTTCAAGATGTATTAGCATATTTGCAAGGCAGTTGAGATGATCTCGGTGACCCTGTTGTCTCCACAGCGGGCTTTCATATTCCTGCCAACATGGTGGACCTGTTCCTGAACCGAGTTCTTGTGGAGAACAACTCAGATCAGGATGAACTCAACACGGAGCGCGAGATCATCGGGATCCTTGAAAACCGCATCCTAATGTTGTTCTTTGCATCAGCTGACTGTGAGAGATGCCAAAAGTTTGTGCCTGTTCTCAACAGCTTCTTTAAGAAGCTGAAAGATCCAGCTTACATCGAATATCCCAAACTCCTCGCTCTCATTTACATCAGGTGCAGATCTTTGCCTCTTATCTGTATCCTTAGGATGGATCCACTGATAACACACTCATGATTTTATTTTTTTTTCATCCAGTTTGGATCAATCTGTGCAGCAGCAGGAGAAAATTCTCAAAGAGCTCAACAAAAGGACTTTATTCTTGGCATTTGAGGATCAATATAGAGAGTAAGTTACTCCCTCTTTCCTCATGAATGCATCAAATAAGTTTCTGTTTTCATTGGTTTTGTGTTTCTCTGTGATTTAGGGAATTGCAGGTCATGTTTAAGGTGAAGGATATCCCTGCAGTGGTGGTGCTGCGTCCAGATGGCTCTGTCCTGTCTCAGAATGCTGTGCAGGACATCTATCGCCTTGGTACTGACTGCTTTCGTAACTGGCAGGAGTCAGCCGAGCTGGTGGAGAGGACCTTTATGTTCAACGAGGAGTTTGATGATCCTAACCTGAGGAGCGCCACAGACCCTGTAAGGAGACTGAAGTACAAGACTGAGGATGACAAGAGGAAGACGAGATGGTGGAAGATATGGGTGAAGGGAAAGGATGGAAAGAATGAGGAGGAAATGGATGAAACATGGGACATGAAAAGAAAGAACGGGGATAAAGGAATTTGGAGAAAGAGATGAATTTCTTTTATTAACTTGCCTGATTTTTTTGATTCTTTGCAGCTGCACTTTAGCCCTGATTTCAAGAAATCTATTAGATGAACATAAAATTATCTATCTATCTATCTATCTATCTATCTATCTATCTATCTATCTATCTATCTATCTATCTATCTATCTATCTATCTATCTATCTA